TAGTCCACTGTCTATAATAGCCTAATTTAGATATCACTTTTTTTTTTAACCGACTACCGACAACTTTGACCGGTTAACGTTGATACGGTCAACCACCGGTCAAACGGTCATCGGTTAACATCCCTAGTAGTTAAGGTACAATGTTCCCAAGACTTGGGAACATTGTACCTTAACTACTCATGTCTATAATTCAGTAACAAATATAATTTTTCTTACATGTCTTTAGAGCTTTTTAGTGCAGTACTATTAACTTAGCACTATTTAGCTATTAATTTAGTGCTGTTTACATTAAATAATAGGCTATTTCAAGTGTTTCAAGTGGTGCCACTGTACGAGTTGGTGAATGACTGAGAATGAATCACTTGAATGAATCAAATGAACTGGGTCTCAAAAAAAAAAGTAATTTTGTCTATCCTTACTCTACACATAACAAACATATTTGCTCTACAGAACACAACAAAGCTATAAATAAAAAGAGGAATCAACTTAGTCCCAACACCGTGGAACAAATATTGTTATTAACGAAAACTTTTGAGTGGTGAACCTGGTTACTTTGCACAAACACCTTCGCTCCAAATGTTTACTGTCCCTGTTCACAAGCACTTTCACTTCCCTTTTTCGTTTCAATGATTACTTAAACACTGGAAAAATAATACATAATAAATATGTGTGTGTGTGTGTGTGTGTGTGTGTGACAGAGTGAGTGAAAATTTTATAGCAAAATATGCATAAATTAATCATTGGGTGTATTATTTTATATCTTTTATAGTCTATGGTTCAGCAAGCTAAGCCCCTATGCCTGTGATCTGAAGGTCGCTGGTTTGAGCCCCCACTTTGGCAGAATAGTTATATGTCTATGGGTCCTTGAGCAAGGCCCTTAACCGCCAGTTCCATGGGTGCTGCTGTGGGTCACTGCCCTTTGCTGCCAAGCTTGCTCTCAGCTATGTATGCGTCTGTATGTCATGGACAGTGCTGAAGATGAGGTCGGCAAAAGATAATTTCCGGGAGTCAAAAGTGTCATTATTATTATTATTATATATAATTATCAGTTCAGGAAACATTTTTAGTGTTTCTAGTGGCCTTTACTCATAAGACAATAAGTGATTTCACAGAAAAGACATAAGCCGACTGATTCAATACAAATGCAGCGCCTGCCAAGTTAATGTCTGCTTCTATTTCACCAGCAGGTGCCGCTACTGTGCACCATGTTGTAAAGCTTGAAGATACATACCGATAACAGGTGTTATGCCGAAAAAAGCATCCCTGCCTTAGAATGCATGCCGGTGTTCCGACGAGTAGAGCTTTTAAGGGTTTTTTGGGGGTCAGGGGTTTTTTAGGGGTTAGGGTTAGGGTTTTAGGGGTGTTTTGGGGGTTAGGGTTAGGGTTTTAGGGGGGTTTTGGGGGTTAGGGTTAGAGTTTTACGGGTTTTTTGGGGCTATTGATTAGCACTACGGTAGCCTTACTCGACAAAGTATCTCAACTCGTTTCAGATCAGCGACCAATCGGTCATTTAGAGACAGGCATGCATTCTACGGCAGGGATGCCTTTTCCGGCATAACACCTGTACGTTTGGAAAGGAAGCTTCGTTGCTTCAGAAAGCTTCGTTTCTACATCACTACTTTCTACGAATGCTTGCAACGAAATACGTATTTTTGCTTCTTCAAAAATTAGCACAAAGTTTGCAAGACCCAAAATCTGGGCTGCACTCACTTACTGACACCAACTCACCCGTCACCTCCTATGCACGATTCTACTGAACATTTCTAACACTGTACAGTAACGTTAAGTGATTTTACTGAAGCATAGCACAAAGCCATTTAGTTTTGAGTTAAACACCATGTCCCTATTTATGCTGTCAAAAATCGTTCAGAAAAAGTATTATTGAGAGAAATAAAACGGTACACACACAGTGTGTTATTCTATCGCTACTTTGATTAATGATATGGCAATTGTTGATTGGTATTTTTTGGAATACAGTATGAGTAACTTATATTGCAACCCACATATTGAACGCTCCCGCAAAAACCAAACGTTCATTAAGTTCCTTTAAATCAGATCGAGCTACATAAGTTTTGAACAACTCTGAGCTATTCGTTAAGTTCTCCCCAAACGAGCTTGATGGGCTGAATGGCATCCTCTCGTTTGTTCATTTCTTATGTTAAGTCAATGGTTTATTAATAATTCTAATGTTTGTACTACAGCATAAAGCATTAGTATATTTGTTCTGGCAACGTGAAAGAAAACAGCTTTATAACAAACCTTCAGGAAATCCATTCACAGTGACACTTACTTGGTGTATTCTTGTAGTCCCTTTATGAACCACACTGTGTTCCTGTAGAATGACATATTTTACAGCTACTTGGTGCAGCTGAACAGACCAGGAGAGGGTCTCGTGTATCTGAAAAGACCCCGTTGAAAATAAGCCACTCCTTTTCCGCCTTTCCTGGCTTGAACCGGTTGGATACAGTGATTCACATGTTACGTGGGCGGGACGATCATGACAGGCTGTCTGTTTGGTTCGGTGGGTGTCAGACGTTTTATCAAAGTATATAACTAGGCGTAAATTAAGACAATGTACTCGCTGGCGAGTCTACTTATCAGTGTTAATTTTGTTGACGGAAATTTTTCGTCAACGACCTTTATTTTCAGACTAAAACGAGACCAAATAAAAACGATTTCACGACGCCTAAGCAGTTGAAACTTCAACAAACATGAAATTACCAATAAACTACGTCTACAAATATTTATTTTAATATTCAGAGAGAGCAGGCCTGGTAGCATTATAGCCTATGCACTTTGAAGTGATTTTATTTTTGCACTAACGGCACTACTGATTTTGAGTTTCCGGGTTAATAAACATAAGTTTGTGTTTGAAATAAGAATGAAATCTGTGTCTTTGTGTACTGCACAGTCAGACCTTAATGCCATCCCTTAACATTGGTTTCATTTAATCTTGGAGAACATAACGACTTCCTGACATCAAAGGGAAACTTTAAACATTACAGTTTACACTTTTAATTTTAGTCGACTAAATCAACTGTAGTTTTAGACAACAGTAGTCTTATGATATTTAGTCAACTAAAACTATAGACTAAAACTAAAATAATTTAGATGACTAAATTGTGACTGAAACTAAATTACATTTTAGTCAAAAGACTATGACTAAAACTAAATAAAAATTTGCTGTCAAAATTAACACGGCTACCTATTCCACTGGTTGCGTAAAGTTGAAGTACTACATTCAGTGTAGTACACTTTACCAGGGTTATCAGGTGTCATTAACAAAAATGAAAAATAAAACTGCAAGAAAATGTTTTCGTAAGATGAAATAAAATCCATCCATCCATTGTCCTATGCAGAGTCGCCCCAGAATGGGACGCCAACCCATTGTAGGGCATTTTTAGTTTTTTGATTGCATTCACAGATCTTTGTGAGGACCTGAAAAATGGTCCCCACAACATCAAAATAAAGGTTTTTATTACATTGTGGGGAACATTTGGTCCCCAAAATGTAATATAAACATAATTCACACATACACACACAGAGTCATGAAATAAAATAAGCTACAAAATAAAAATAAAATCTCCAACTGAACAAAAACTATAATCAGAAATTAACTGAAATAAAATAAAACATTTAATTTGGCAGACACATAAAATAGCTCTACAACACTTACTCTTTCCCTAGAAATAAAATTACTGAAGCTTAAACTGAAACTATCCATCCATCCATCCATCATCTTCCGCTTGTCCGGGGTTCGGGTCGCGGGGGTAGCAGCTTCA